AACACACACACACACACACACACACACACACCCCCCTTCTGTTGGCTACATGCTGCCATCCAGTAAAATAAAAAGCCAAGAGTTATCTCACTGCCTCTCCCTTTGGCATCATTAGGCTGGAAGCTAATAAAGGAAAAGATTTAACAAGAGTCAAAGACACTATAGGCAAAAGAATGAAGTAGAAGATATTTACTGGGGGAAGGGAGCTTTTTTGCCTGCTTTTCTGCAAGAGACAGAGCCTTTCTTTATGGTACCTTCTGACTGTCTCCAGGCTCCAACAATCATGACATCAGCAAACAACAGCAGTCTCCTCCCTGGCTCCGTCCAGACCCAACCCAACATATTCCACACTCTCACGCAGGTGAATTTTCTGAGACACATGACTGATCCCTATTCCACTTTCATTTGCAATTCTCTCATTAGACATATCATGCTATTGTGCATGATTATAATTATGTGTGCATACGTCATACCTCCTTCAATAAACTGTAATGCCATGGGAGAACCCAGACTGTATTACTCTTACTAAACAATCTTCACTCATTCACTCAAACATGCAGAAAATATGTGTTATGCACCAGGCACTATACCAGCCCTGAAGATGAGTCAGGTCATTCCCTTCAATTTTTTTAAAATCATTTGTGTTTACGTTGGTTGCAGGGGTTGGGGTGGGGGGGAGGGGTGTTGGGGAGAGCCATATAAACAGAAGATTGTAATACATGAAATTATTTACATTTTATAATATTATGATATAATTGCGATATATATTTTGATTACGCAGGCACCAATTAACATAGAATCACAGAGAAGGGCTCCTACTAAACCCTTGAGCAGATCAAGAAAGGCTTTTCAGAAGAAATAAGGTCTAAACTGACAGCTGAAACACCGGCAGATATACACGAAGAATCGGGAACTATGAGCAGCCCATTAAGACTACATGGTGGCAAAGGAGAAGGCTTGAAAAATATTCAGGAACCAGATCTTAAAAGGGCTTTAGCTACATTAAAGAATTTGACATTTATCCTGAAGGAGCTGAATTGCTTTAGTAAAAGAGCGATATGATCAGACTTCTACTTTAAAAATGACCACTTTAATTAGAATATAGTAGTCATTCAAAGTATTTGTCGAACACATGCATAGTTAAGTGTAAGCAGCATAATAAAAAAATATTGTAGGAATTAAAAAGGAGAGAAATCGGTGAATTGGTCCTAGCTGTGATGTCCCAGAAAGGTTTTATGGAGGAGTTCAGCTGTTCTTTTAAAACTGTACAATTTTGATAGGGTAATTCAAGGAAAAGGACTTTCTAGTTGGAAACAGGAAAGGTACAAGGAAGATACTGAGCTAGGAAGTGGCTGTGCAGAAGTTTCAGATGAATTCACAGAAGAGCGAATAGTTTAGTGCTAAGTCTGGAGGGGTAGGTTGGCATCTTAGAGCAGGGATGGGTGCCTTGAATGCCAGTCTCAGGATTTAAACCTCACCAGCAAAGAGACAGCCAGCTTCTGGCTGAGTTTTGAAACGGGAGAGGCATACCGCCAGTGTTGTATTGGGAAGATTGAGTATGAATTGGAAGAGGTTTAAAAACAAGGTCCAGGGGGGTGGGGTTATTATGGACATTGGGGAGGGTATGTGCTATGGTGAGTGCTGTGAAGTGTGTAAACCTGGCGATTCACAGACCCATACCCCTGGGGAAAAAAAATATATTATATGTTTATAAAAAATAAAATTAAAAAAAAAAAAAAAAACAAGGTCCAGGTAAACAGGGTGTAGCAACATAAAAGGAAAAACAAAAGCAGGAGATGTGCTGCAAGATACATAGCAAAAATAAAAAGAAGAAGAAGAAGAGTTAAGAGAGAGAAGTAAAAGCATAGGGTTGGGTGATAGGTGAAACAAAGGTCGCCTCACATACCAGCCTCCTACACCCACCCCCACGTCTCCAGCTCCCCTACTAACCCTCCCTGGAGGGCTGCCTTATCTGAATAGACCCATTTCCTGCAGCTTCATGTTACCATTTGGAGGATGAGAGTCTCCTCCTTTATGAAGCTGTTTAACCAGTGTCTACACCTAAGAACTAGGAGGTGAGGGGTTTTTCTGAAAAGAAAATGAAGAGAAAAGAATATCTGGAGAAGAGAAGAACATCAGACAAACAAAAGGTAACACTGAAGCTCAATTAGCTCAAAGAGTTCTGTCCTCTCACTGCTGGGGTCACCTCTTCTACCAGCGATTTGTACCCTCAGTAACCACAAGAAGCAGAAAGAGAAAACTCAATTGTTCTGTTGCTTCCGATTTGAACTCTGGCCACTTTCATCTCCAACAGCGACAACTTAATTTAATAGTATGTAGGGATACTGAAAAAAGATACTAGAAACCCCCTTCCAAAATTGTCTAACAAAATTCCACAGCACATTAGTCTATCACTCGAGAAAAGCTGACCTGAGAAACATCACAGCCCTCATCCGAAGGAACAATGTCATTTGTAAATAGATCGCTCAGAAAATTCAATAAATCCCTGGCTCATCAAAATAAATTCTGTTTTCCCAGCCTTACTCAAAGTCAGAAAGTCAGGCTTCTCACAATGGTCCCATGTATTAATTATTCTACTTTAAGGCAGGCGGGGAAACTGAAGTTGCATTCTTTAAGATAGAGATATTAAGGGCCAGCTGGGTGGCTCAGTTGGCTAAGCAGCTGACTCTTGGTTTCAGCTTAGATCCTATCTCGAGATGGTGAGATCAAGCACCTTGATGGGTTCTGCGCTCAATGCTGGCTCCATGTGGGATTCTTTCTCTCCCTCCGTCCCTCCCACTCATGTGTGCTGTGCTTTTGCTTTCTCTCTCTCTCTCTCTTCAAATCATAAATAAGTCTTTAAAAAAAAAAAAGAGATATTAATAGCTCTAAATTTTGTTCCAAACTGGATGGTGTCTGGCTGCAGCAGATATGAATGCCAGCAAATTAGTAGATTCTTTGTAATGGCATTTCATTTGTCACCATTTAACTGATGACTATTGTTTTCTTTAGAACTTTTTAGTGGATGTTTGTTAGGCCTGATTGCATGATAAACTTTCCTTAGCTTGCCTTTGTTTCCAAAGTAATTATGAGCCTCTTCCTCTCTCTTTTTGATGCCCACAGATGCCATAATGAAGGCAGTTAAATATGCAAACATGAGAATAAGAAACAAGGTGTCAACATACCTATAATTTACTTATTGAGGCATCCAACTTACTCATAAACCAGGGATCGTATCGCTAATAAAGTTATCTGATTTTCCTAAAAAATTTAGGCATATTTTCCAGTGTCTTTGCCAACAGATGGTTCAGGGGTCTTTTGTCACTTTATAATTCATCTACCCCTCCAGACATGATAAGGAGATAATTTAAGTGAAAACAATGTGTGGACCTCAGATATGCAGCTGCAAGCGAAATCGCCACACTCCTTTGCAAGCATATGACTGACCGCCCCTACTCCTCCTAGAATACTTTAGTCAGCTATTTCCCCTAATTGAAACGAGACTGCAACTAGACAGAAAATACTTAGGAAGGTGTTTGCTTTATTAAAATAGCTATATACTATGGGAGCATTTCAGTCTTCCAACATAGAAGTTCTCAGACATTAAACCAAAGGCAGTATCATGCCAGAATGGGAACTATACATAGTTTACTAAAGAACTTATATAATCAGACCACAAAACCCTTCCAGATCAAAGGCAGGTCGCTCTCTAACTCCCCTCCCCCACTCACCCCCCCTCCATGGCATCAGAAAGTTCTACTTCCCAATTATTGTATGTTTTAATTGAGGTAAGATATTTCTAATAAAAAGAATGCCAACCTAGCTATAGTTTTATTAGGAAGGATTTTACCTGATTAAAGTTTCCCTATCTGGCACCTAAGATTAGGTATCTAAGGATATCAAGATCCTAAATTCCTGAGTGGAGAATACATAATACGCAGTATTTCCCAAAACATCTGAAAACACAAACACTTTTTTTAACAGAAACTAGCATATCGCCCAGAAGTGGCAAACACTATGCAAAATACTGCATACTGCCATTCATCATCAGTTGTCACTGGAACAAGAGCAGAAGGAAAAAAAAAAAAAGTCAAAGCACTGAGTGAACTAAATTTTTAGAAGTGGTGAGGAGTTCTGCAAAGGATGCTAAAAGCACACTTTGCCTACCTTGCAGTTTTAAGAAATAATCACAGAATATCTTATTATGGAGGTGACTAGGAATCTATAATGGCATCTTCTTCTTCTTCTTCCTTTTTTTTTTTTTTTGGAAACTAATAGGTATGACCTTAAAATTCTCCCAGGTAGCTCATGGCTGTCCTTGTATTCTAGGCATTACCGAATGTCTAACTAATACTGTGTATACATACTGAGATATATATATTTTTAATTTTGAATGAAAATTAGAATCAAACACTTGACCTGATCAATGATTAAAAACAAAGGCTCTAAGCCTAGTCCAGGCACCAACTGGGTATGTGATCTTGGTCAGGGCCTCCTTGGTTTCCTGATCTCTGTACAATGGACCCCCCAGCTCTATAAGCCTCGTGAAACCCACCCAGGAAAGACAACTGCATCGTGTCTCCTTGGCAGTTCTTACCCATCAAGCAACTGTTGATGAGGGCGGGTTGTGAGCCACTATCTTTGCAAGGAAGATTTAGGTCCGCTGTTCCAATAGAAAAGCACCTCATAAGGTGCTTCCAGCCCTCAACTACTTCATAAACTCTTCTCTAAAATTGTATAACCACAAGGACCTCTCAGCTCATTAGGAGTAAAACTGCAACTTCTAGCTCCCTCAACAACACGAGCTTTATAAAAGCCCGGTGGAAGAAAAACCCAGTGTGGTGAAAACCAAGTGCCACCAATGAGTCACCGCCTCACGCTTGAAAAATGCCACGCTATTCTGCCTCCCTCACTTCTCCCAAACAAATAGTGTTCTCATACAAATGAAAGTTCACGGCCACCGAGGGCCTGGCAGGGCCGCGGGGGGGCCCCCGCCGTACCTGGTTGAAGTGCAGCGGGACGGGCTCGGCGACACCCTTCTGGGGGGCGGCTCCCAGCTGCTCCAGCAGGCGCGCGAGCTGCGCCGCCGACAGGCTCCGATTCGCGCCGAACACGCTCAGCACATCCTCGCTAAAGGCGAGCCCGGGCCCCACCGCCGTGCCTCCGACGCCCGCGGCCGCCAGCAGTAGGAGCCCGGCCACCGCCCGGCCCGGGACCATCCCGGCCGGGGCTGCCTCTCGAGGACCTGAAACGGGCTGAAGCGCACCGGGACGCTCTGGCCGCACCGGCGTCGGTGCCCGAGGGCGCGCGGATCAGGCGTGGTCCACGCGGGTCCGAGTCAGCGGTGGCGAGGGCGCCCCTGGTCCTCCGCCGCCTTCGGAAGAGCAGCAGCCCGCAACCTGCGGGGCATTGAAGTGCAGGTGGAGCAGGGGTGGGGAGCAATAAGCTGAGTGGGCCCCCGGGCCTCCTGGAGAGCCTAAGATAAAGAGGACAAAGGGGGACAGAGATAAAGGCCAGCGGGCCACCCACCGGCCAGCCCCCGGAGCAGGGCCTTGCGGGAGCCCTCGGACGCCCAGCCAGGCAGGGGGCCAACTGCTCCCGAGCCAGGTTTGCGAACGTCCCAGGATTTGCATAGCGTGGTGACACAGGCTCCTCCCGGATAGAAAGCCCCAAACCAAACAATTTCTTTAGGAAGAACGAAAACCGCTCTCACTAGAGAACCTCACCTCTTCTTCCTGTCTTGGGGCTAAATTCCCTCAGAGCAAACTTAGACGGCGTGAGACAGTCCCCACGGAGCTGCGGGAAATAGCCCCTTCGGAGTCCTGGACTTTGCGTCTCTGCGGGACCCTCCCTCTCCCACACCTCTTCGCTGGGCTTGGCAAACCGTGGCCTGCTAATCTCTCACCTCGCCTGTCTGTTTCTGTCTCTGCGTCTCTGACTGTGTCCACGTGAGTCTCAGTCTTTCCCTCTTTCTCTCTGTCTCTCTCTGTCTCTCTCTCAACACTATCTCTGGCAAGTCAGCTCTGAAACTCCGAGATCCGGCCCTACGCCCTTTACAGATAAGAGGCAGGCCCTGTCCCCGCCTCTCTGGCACGTGGTGACACGCACTCCCCCAGCCTGAACTCCCGCGCTCCTCCGGGCCGCGGCGCAGAGCCCCTGGCGTTGGCGCATTCCTCACCCGACCAGGCTCTCCACCCTCACCCCGGGGGGTTACCTGAACGCCACGTTTGTGTCGGTGTCCCCAGCCTCCTTTCTGGTCTCGGTGGTCTCTTTGTTACCTTGATGAAACCAGCTTCCTGGAATAGAGTCACCCCATGCATTGTCTAAGAGATTAGCAGGAATTGCTTTTTTGTGTTACTTGGTAAACTCCGAGGAAAAAAAGGAAACCAGATCTCCAGCGTGGTGGCGGGCGAACTGAGCCTGCACTGCCCAGGTCGGCCCTTCCTGACGCCGCACAGGATATCCGCAGATCAGAATGAATGTTTGTTTGTTCAAATGAGGGTTCAAGAAAAGCTGACTTAGGTGTGAGATCAACAAGCTTGTGCAAAGTGAATGCGGTGTTTGGGGACAAAGGTTGTGTCTAGTGGATGTAATTGTCCCGAAATAAAGTAAATCTTGGTTCGCTGCTACATGGCTAAGGACAATAAGAATTAAAAATGTTGTTTTTGCCTTTCACTCGGCTCAGAGTGCACAGCAGATTTTAAGAGATACTAAGTGCAGATTTTAAGATACCCTAAGTGCAGAAAAAGGCAAGGAGATGTGGAAGGGGAACTTAAATGTCAATGTGAAAAATAGAGACAAGACAGAAAATTCCAGAGGGATAAGGTTCTAGGTGGACATAACCGAAGGGCTGTCCTATGGAAAATGTTTAACTGTGTTCTGACTAGTAACAGGGCAAAGTCACCAAGAGGAAGGTTTCCGCAGAATATAAAGCCCAAGTGCTTTGGGAGGTAGTGATTCCTCCAAGATTGCGAGTGTTTCAACCCCACAGGAGAATGATAGGATTCCTGTCTTGGAGGGAGATCAACAAAATGATCTTGATGGTGTGTCCCTTCCAATTATAAAATCTGTATATTTATTAGTAATAATTTATGAAATTATAATGGTACATAAAGGGCAAATGTCTCACCCAAGGGCCAGAAGAAAATTCATGTTGCCGTTATTTTTCCTTTTGACCTCAGTGACTCAAGGTGTTTCTTAGAAATTAGTGAATGCTTCAGATGGTTCATCCACATCCAGCAAGCTGTTTATTCCCAGCTTGAAATGCATTGATAAGATGTTGGATTTTCCACAAATCTAAATGGATTTTAACTAATACAAATTTTGTATTGTGGATTTTTTTAAAATAAAATTTTTGTATTAGTCATTCACATCTATATATATACATTTTGCCTGACCATCAACCCCAAAAGACAATAAACAGTAAAATAAGTAATAATCAACTTGCTCGGCAACTTTACCAAGTGCAGTTAATATAATTAAAGCATGCAATTAAGAGAGAGTATTCAGAAAATTACAAGTTACTAACTACCAAACCGGTAAGGCTAATTTCTAGATCTTCCACTCTAATGAAATATAATCACGAAAGTACTACTCAGATAAGATTTTAGGGCTCAAAATATGGCATTCTTTCAGCAATATCATCACTGAAAAAAGGACTTCCAGTTTAAAATATAAAGTGTAATGTTAATAGCTATAATTTCTCTCAGAAATTTGCCTGAGAGGTTAAGTAATTTCAAATGATAATATTTAAGGGAGCATGCCAGGAAGTCCAGCCAGGATACTGAAAGACGCTTTGTCTTTCTGACAATTCACCTGTGAAACTGGGTGACAAGTTCAATTCTTTCATCCATGAAACAGGAAAATTGGGATAGAAGAACAAGTATCCACCCCGGCCTTATTTCTAAATGTCTAATTTAGGAGTCATCTTTCAGAACAAAACATGAAACTCCTAGAAGAGAAATAAAAGTTCACTGACCCAGGGGCACCTGGGCAGCTTAGTCAGGTAAGGGTCTGACTCTTGATTTGGGCTCAAGTTGCAATCTCAAGGTTTTGAGACTGAGCTCCTCCCTCGTGGGCTCACTGCTCCAGGGGGAGTCTGCTTATCCCTCTCCCTCTGCTCCACCTCCCTCTGCCCCCCAACTTGTGCTCTTTCTCTCTCTTTTAAATAAATAAATAAGTAAATCTTTTAAGGGGAAAAAAAAAGAAAAAGATTCTCTCCCTGGGTCCCTCTTCTCTTCTCTTAAAAAAAAAAAAAATCAATTTGCCAATGGAAAGGACATTAAAAAAAAAAAAAAGAAGAAGATTTTATTTATTTCCAGAGAGAGAGTGAGAGTGAGAATACAAGCAGGGGGAATGGCAGGCAGAGGAAGAAGCAGACTCCCTGTTTAGCAAGGAGCCCAGTTTAGGACTTGGTCCCAGGACACTGGGATCATGACCTGGGTAGAAAGCAGATGCTTAACCTCCTGAAAGGGCATTTAAAGTCAAGTCTTATTTTTCCTAATAGCTTCAAATTTTTCCCAGTCCACATCTTATGTTACTACTGCAAATAAGGAGCAAATGGGCTTCTTTTAAACTTTCTCATGCATTCATTTCTCTGTAGAATGACTAATAAGCAAATCTAAGAGACAACACATCCCTCTCCCCCTTCCCTTCTCTTCTTCTCCCTCCAGTCGTAAAGCCATGAAGTGGAGCATAGCATAGATAAATAGTAGCTGTGTGGAGGGCAGTCACAGTGGGGTGCTGGAACCTGAACAAGAGAAGGAGGGTATCCAAGTAGGAGGGAAATTTAGTGTGGGCAGCTATAGCCCACGCAGGGTGGCAAAGGTGTCCAGATGTAGAGGGAACAGGGAAAATCAGAAGATGCCTCCTTAGTGGGCATTTATTTCTGGACAACAAGAGTGTGTGCATGCGGGCGCCTGGGTGGCTCAGTGGGTTAAGCCGCTGCCTTCGGCTCAGGTCATGATCTCAGGGTCCTGGGATCGAGTCCCGCATCGGGCTCTCTGCTCAGCAGGGAGCCTGCTTCCCTCTCTCTCTCTGCCTGCCTCTCTATCTACTTGTGATCTCTCTCTGTCAAATAAATAAATAAAAATCTTAAAAAAAAAAAAAGAGTGTGTGCATGCACCCAGCACGAATGTCAGCACCCAGCTATGATGAGTTGGTATGATGAATTAATTGTGGGACACTCAGCTAGTGTCTGAAAATTGCTCAGATATGTTTGGAAAACCCCCTCATATTAATTTGGGGCCCAGAATCATAGAGTGTCAGAATCCAAGCAAGACAGGGAGGGAATGAGGGAGAAGAAAATGGCAGCAGAAAGAAAAAATTAATTATACTTAAAAGGATTCATTAAACAAGTAAATAAAGATAATAATTGCAGCCAGTTTTGTCACTGTCAAGGAAGGAATTTGCAAACTCAGAGAGGGAGAAAATTTAGAACGAACCCATGCCGTTGGTTTGGAATTGGAGATGTCATAGCAAATTCATGGTTTTCACTATAGTCAAAAAAATACCCTAGCTCTGTCCACTGGCAGGTTCCGGAAACAGTGATGCCCTAACAGCAATCAATGAGAATACCAATGGCCCTCAGCTTGGCTTCTAAAACCTATTCTCAGGGGATAGCTGGCTGGTTCAATTGGAAGAGCATGGGACTCCTGATCTTGGGGTCATGAGTTTGAGACCCATGTTGGGTAGAGATTATGTAAGTAAAAATAAAGCTTTTAAAAATAAAATAAAAATTATTCACTAATAAGAACCAGAGCTCCTTAGAGAAAGATTTGACTCCAGGCCGGCAAAGCACAAGCTAACCCTGGAGTCTCTCATTGTGCTTGAAGACAAGAAAGTGGTCAAAGAATGTAGAAAATACATATTATAGTATTCCAAGAGGGTGCCTGGGTAGGCTCAGTCCGTTAAGCAACTGCCTTTGGTTCAAGTCATGATCCCAGAGTCCTGGGATCAAGTCCCACTTTGGGCTTCTTGCACAGCTTTGAGCCTGCTTCTCCCTCTGCCTCTCTCCCTGCTTGTGCTTTCTCTCTCTCTCTCTCTCTCTCTCTCTCTCTCAAATAAATAAATAAAATCTTTTTAAAAATAAATAAATAAAAATAAAGTATTCCAAGATAATGGAGCATTAGATCAGCAGCTTACACTCAAATGGTTCAGTGAGGAAAGGTCTTCACTTGCATCTTTTCTGTAAGTTTGTTATTGCTTCAAAATTTAAAAAGTAAAACACTGAGTATGAAAGATAGGAAGTA